TCTGAGAACTGAGATCTCAGGGAAACAAATGTTGTATATATTAACATCGAAAAGAAAGGTTGTGTACATCTGTTCATTATATGCAACTTATTTTCTTATTTATTCTGTTTATGCTAGATAATAATGTCAACATTTAAATCATTTACGTCAATTCTGCAAGCCAGAAAGTCATTTTAACCTGCAAGATAACATCATCAAAAATAAATTCCATCAAAAAAGGTAAAATGCATCTACAGTGCTTAGATATTGAGCATCTGAAACATAATCCTCGAACGTGTTCCTATCCTTCTTCACCCTACAACTATAGTCCTGCTGGACACGTCATTACTGGTGACGTTAATATAGTTAATAATGAGGACCTTATATCACTTATTATAAAAGGGCCAAAATTTAGGGAACTCCTATCTTTCATTTGGCGTCATAATTTCATAAATATTATAAATTCTGTGGAAGTTTTCGCCGGACAATGGGCCAAATATGAGAAAAGAAGACCTTGGCACTTTGTAAGAATGGATTAAAAGTATCAGATGGATGTTGAAATCTCGCATTAAGCGATTGAGGGGCAATATGAAAACCGTTTTCCACAATGCAGAAGTGAAACAAGAATTAGATAGATTGCAGGATCAGTATGTACTGGTCCCAGCGACAGAGTAGGTAACAACATTGTCTTTGTAAGGCTCATTATTAGTCCCCTACCGGTTAGGTTACCAATTAAAGGTCTTTTGCTAGTAAAATATCCAAATATGAAACTGATGTGTCAGACACTGTGATGTCTTTTATTTCAACTTCACTGGGCTATATCGAATCGACATATGAATGAAAGTAACTATTGTTGATAATACGTCGTCAATATATCTAAATGTGGTGTTGAAGGCGACAACAAGTGTTTTCTTCTTCTCATGTAGAAGTTTCTGAATAAATTCTGCTTCATTTGAATACAAAAATAGGTCTGCTTATAATGGGGTGCAATTCGTACCCATGATTGTTGGAAAACTTGATCTCCAAAAACTACATAATTATTGTCAGTTATCAGATTTACTTCAGAGTACTTGTGTGTACAATCAGAATATTTTTTAACAAAATAATTTTGCAAACGACCAATGACAAGGTAAGTATATTTACGAGTTCTGTTTTTATTGAAAAAGCAGCTGTCAACGATGTCAAAAAGCCTGGACTTTAATTTATTGTGGGGAATGGTTGTATAAAGTGTTGAAAAGTCGTACGTTTTGATGTTATTAGTCCCCTACCGGTGAAACCGGAGGGGACTATAGGTTTCCTCTTTTAGAAGAAAACGTATTTATTAAATGTAATTTTACATGTTGACTTAACCATCCTGCATCTTGACAAAAAAGAAAGTTGCATTTTGACATAATTACATTAAATCTTGCATGCCAACATAATCTGTAGAAAATTTACTTACATGTACATATAATGGGCGGAAAAGGAAAAAAAATATGACCATATAAAGTCATGTTAATAAAATTATTTCACTTTATTCATTTTATTTAGGACATATCTCCACAATACAAAAAAGTAACTTTTGCTAATTGTGCAATTGTGGTTATTCTATGTAACTTAAAACCTTTATAATCACTAAGACTAAAATCTAAGCGTACATGTTGATCAGAAAATTTTCTGTACAATGGAATGAAAGGTATTACATTAGAGAAATATGTAATACCTTTCATTCCATTGTACAGAAAATTAGAGAGCAGCTTTCATACAGGACGACAATAACGTAATTTTGCTTAAATGTATGAATTTCAAAAGTTTATTAACTATATTTTTCTGTTATTTTTAAGAAGTAAACAACAATTTTTACAAAAATTTCCGACATAAAAATGCAGCTCAAAATGCTTTAATCGTTATATTAGATTTGAGGATAAGTGAAAATGAAGAAATATTGATTTAGTAAAATATATCTAAGGCTTATAATGTATTTGCACGGTATTAAAGAAGAATTACTGGGGGAAAACAAAAGCACTAATGTGCACAGACCATTTGATCTTGAACCGACTAAAATTTGAAAGATTTATCATAATATCTCATTACTTAATTAACTGTTTGTATAGTAAATTAAAGAGTACTTTGCATGTATTTCGTTATGTTGTTCTAATAGAGGAGTTTGGATGTGATTTACTTACATCCACGTGGAATGAATCAGACGAACTAGGAGTATAAACTCGTGAGGAATATATTCCCACAAGGTGATGAATAATAAAAAAGAAATACATTGAACTCAAACAGTTTTATGTGTCCAAGGTAATTAAAGCAGTAAACAAATCACTACAATCGAACCCTTTCGCTCACTGTTTATACGCCGGTAGCGTGTATATTAAAAGTAAAGGTAAAGTGACTTTATAAGTTGTGTACCCTTCTTTCCCCTCTCATTCTTTCCCATTTTTCCCATGTCCCCCATCCTACCATGGTCCCTTCTTCATCCTCCATCCTTTCTTGTAGACTCTCACCCGTTTTTCTAGTTAAATCCGCCCACCGCATTATTGATGTATAATTAGATCTTAAAGTTCGTCATTTTCCATTTACATTTTTTAAAAAAGAAATGTAAAAATGTTGTACAGTTTTTCTTTAATGGTAAGACATGAAACGGAATTTTAGTACATCTCAACAATTGTTCTGCTATTTTTCAAATAACAGCATAAGAAAAATAAAATATCTTGAATTGAAAACAAAAGAGTGAATCTTCTGTATTTTCATTATTTAGACTTACTCGATCATGCTTTGCATACATGCCCAGTATTATAAAAAAGACAAATTTCTAAAAGTTATCTTTGTAAAGCCCTTAATTTATCCTTTACTTTCAGAGCTTACCCGTCAGAGTCACATCAGAATATACCACACATGCTTCGTCAGTAGCAGCGGCTGCAGTGAATAATAATAATGTTTTTTCTTTAAGGCTTCCAAATGAAGCTACAATATTTACAGCAGAGGCAAAAGCCACACAGCTTGCATTTGAATATATTAAATATTCTAATGACAACTCTTTTACAATATTTTCAGACTCGCTTTCTTGCTTGCAGTCTATACAAAATATGAATATCGATCAACCATACATTTTAGATACATTAGTTCAGTTCTATCATTTCACTCAACAAGGTAAAGTAGTTGACTTTTGTTGGATTCCAAGTCATACTGGCATCATTGGAAACACTAAGGCTGATAATGCTGCAAAATTGGCACTTCAGTACGAAATTACCATTTTCAAAATTCCTTATACTGACCTAAAATATATTGTGAAACTTTATGTAAATTCTCTTTGGCAGATATATTGGGAATTTTGTGATACAAGTAAACTATATGCAATAGAAAACAAAGTTAACATATCATCTAACTTCGGCCTGAAACGACAGGACGAAGTGATTATTTCAAGAATACGTATAGGTCATTCTAAAATAACACATGCATACTTACTAAATCGAGAACTTCAGCCAGAATGTATATCCTGTGACTGTCCGCTTACTATAAATCATATTCTTTTAGAATGCTCCGATTTTTCGCCTATTCGAAGTAGACTTTTCAATAATGTACGAACGATGCGTGAACTGTTTACTAATGTTAATACAATTTTAGATTATTTACATGAAACTGATTTTTACAGTAAAATCTAAAGGTACACAATGTAACTAATTTTTTGATAAACACAGAGAGAGTTTTATTTTAAACTTTTAAAATATTTTTAAATTTTTAAGTCCGTCGGATGGGACGTTAAATGGTGCCCCGTGTCAAGGATTGCAACCCCCTTGGCACGCAAAAGATCGTTTCTCTGGTTTTCGGAAAAGAGTAGGATCACTGGGGGCCGCCAGAGAAACCAAAAATCTTTCAAAACCGGTCATATAGAATTAATGTTCCGCCGATATTGCCGACTCGGCGTTAAACCCTAATCAATCAATCAATCGTCAGCGAGATTTTGGAAAACATCGAACTACGAGGAACCAATTACCTTTATTGCTGCAGGAAGTACATGTACATGTACGTCCTCCAAATTACAAATGTTACGTATGTTTTTGGCTCTCTGTTTTCTTGATGGGGTTGTTCTGATATATATATATATATATATATATATATATATATATATATATATATATATATATATATATATATATATATATATATATATAAGTTCACAGAACAGAACGGAAGTACGAAATACTGCTTTTTTTTAAATTAAATGTTTTACTCTTCCGGATTTGTTTTTGAGCCCACACATATGAGATTTGTTTTCATAGAAAATTGTTTCCATGATGTAATATGTAATTTTTTTAAAAATAAAATTATTGATCATGTGACGTAGAAAATGATGCAATGGAAAAAAATCTTAAGATAAACAGTTCGATTTTCAATCAATATACATTGGCATTCAATGGGACGAATATCCTCTCTGACTTTTGTGTACAGAGTGTTAATTTCAGGATTTGTTAGTAACCAGCATAAAATATAGATAAAAGATATTATAGACCTTTGAATATTAAAATTATTATGAACTTTTGATACATAATTAGGAATTGAAGTCAGTACTAGTATATACGACATGAAATTATATATATATATAATTTTAATTGTACCTTCCGGTTATTCAAACATATACTTCATTTTAAGAAATCTGTTCACAAATTTAGTTTAACTTCTAAATAACTAATTTTATGTTTAAACTATTCCGATGGACAGAATAAATAAACTTAAACATCTTTTTAAAAATCCCCGTGGATTACTTTCTCGTATGAATGAATATTGAAGTTATAAAGACAATGGTTCATTCTATAGAATTTAACCTTTCCATAGCTGAATACCACACGGTTTACATAACAGTTTATCTATTTTAAAAAATTATACATGCAATGACTGTGTATTTTACAAGAAAACAATACAAAAAAAGGAAAGTAGCTAAGGAAGCGGCAAATGATCGATGTTGCATTCCGGTTACGCCCGATAAACATAGGATAAATTAAGAACGCCCCTGTCATCAAGATCTAGTCCGGTCCGAATTCTCAGCGGCTCCACATTGAATCGCGCGCTTTTTTCACATTCTGAATATGAGGACGGGCTCAATTTTGATAGTTTTTGTGATTATTGTTGCAACTATTGCACAGGAAACTAAAATTGTTCCAAAAGGTGAGAAAAATCATGTTATTTTGTAGACTGGTGTAAGGAATTAATATGTTTCTTGTTAAAAGAGATAAGATTCATACAATGCTCTGTCATTTGCAAGTTTTACCATTGCAGAAAATAAGTGTACAAGTTTGACTCTGTAACTTAATCTCATTTGATTGTAACTAGCCCCCCCCCCCTTCCGGTTTTAATATTTCAATGAACATAGAGATTCATTGAAAAAGTTTATTGATGAGTTTATGTATTTCTGTAAGTTGATTAAAATGTTTTTTCCTTATAATAACAATATTGTATGTTTAGTTTAGTATTATTGGTTGTTAAAAAGTCAGTTACACATTTGAAAAGTCCATGGGAGAAATGAATATGGGAAACATTTATTTTATTGCAATAATTAATTTAGTATCCTGTAGCTAACCCATTTTGCTTGTTCTCTTCAGATTCCTCTCATTACTAAGAGCACCATCTCTTATCCTCCTTTAATGTACAAAAAATCCTGTAAAAAGTTTGTGTGTTGCCACTTTTGTGACGTAGAAATAAATTTGGGAAACATATATATGTAAAACTTACAATTTAAATCTTTTATTGGATGCATAAGATATTTTAATCTGCATGTAACTACATTTTTAGCTTATAACCTATTCATACACTTCAATTTATTTCAGGATGCAGAGAATTGTTCGACCTATCTTTCGTAATAGATGGCTCAGACAGTATTTCTGCTGAAAATTTCGAAAAACTTCGAGTTTCCGTTGCCAGAATGGTAGATAGTTTCCACATAGGTTCAGGGCAGACAAGAATGGGCATAGTGGTATATAGCAAAGACGTAGCTCTCTCCGTCCCCCTATCAGATGACCCAGTCTACCTAAGGAAAGAGGCTCTTGGTATGCCACATCCAAGAGAAGGAACAAACACACATCTAGGAATAGAGGCCATGGTAAAAGAGTTTAGAACAAGAGGACGACCAGGTGTACCTAAGGCGGGTGTGGTGGTCACTGATGGAATATCTAAAGATGAAGCTGCCACACAACAATGGGCGAAAACAGCCAGGGACGAAGGGATTAATATGTTTTCTGTCGGTATTGGGAGATATACAGAGCCCAAGGAGCTGGAAGGAATTGCATCAGCACCTAATCAAGCAATCAACGTGGATTCCTTTGACGAGCTTTTGGCCATTTTACAAAAACTCGTACAACTTGTTTGTCCAAGTAAGGGAAATTTTTGCACCCAGTGTATTCTGTTTTCTTTAATGCTTCTGGAAAAAAAGTTTGAAAGATGGATGGTGACAAATTTATGTTTACATGAATAATTATAGTGCAACCCGTTACACATGAAAGTTGCATATCATGATGTAATTAAGATCATTCATTTTAATCATGCCGTTGGGCAGTCAATATAAGCTTTTTCGATATTTTCTCGCTTGCTTCTGCAAGTGCTTCATACATGAATTGAAAAACAAAGTACGGTAATTTTAAGTATTACAAAAGCAAAACTATATTATGTTTTATAAATCAACCAAATCCCCTTTTCAGACAAGTGCATGATGCCCGGTGTTAAATCTTATCCACATGACATATCTAAAAACTGTCGCATTTACTGGAAATGCGAGGGAGAGGAATCAAAACTTACCTGCTGTCCAAAGGGATACGCGTATTCAGCACTTACCCAGTCCTGTGTCCAGGACCCAAAATGTGTTGACCCTTGTGGAAATGAGGGTCCAGTCTGCAAAAAGAGACCAGCCATTTACCAGCCTAATATGTATGAGGAATTAATTGAAGGGTATGGTTGGGTTCAAAGGTCCTGTCCTTTCGGACGACTTTACAACCAAGCCACATGTGGCTGTACCATCAAACAGCCGCCTAGAAGAGGTAACTATTTCTTAGTTAATCCAATTACCTTTCAAATAATTTATATTTTATTAATTTCAAGCACAAAATGTTATAAGGTAAAGTTCTTGCTTACTGTTTTTATGCGTTTTTCAAAGTTCTTTACGAATAAACCGTTTAAAGAAAATACATTCTTTTTCACCCCTGAATAGTATGCAAAGTATTGGTACACATTCCATTTGACTACGACTGTATTGATGTATCCGGGAACAACATTCGAGTGAAAAACCACGGCGTCAAATTCACCAGGACCGGATTGGCATTGTTCGAAAACAAAGCCAAGTTAGTAATTCCCAACATTCAGAGAAAACTGAACTCTAATTTTGTCATTAAAATGAGATACAAGGAGTTCCCAAGTTTTGAAACCCAGGGCCTTTTGAGTAATGGAGACTGCTATACTCCCAATACAATGATGGTTTTCAAAAATTCAATACGGCACACATATAAAGTTTATAATCCTTATGGACAACTAACATCATTTTCTATTCCAACAAATGTAAGTATGTTTTTCTCAGTTTTTATATAACTATAATGTACACAATCCTATTCGTAATAGTTTATTTCATAAAATACGATGAAAGATGCTAAGCTTATGAACTACTGAAAAATAGCAAATCCCACTTTTGGCAAAAAATAATGCCATTCAATATCTTGGATTTTACTGAATTTTACTGAATATGCAAACTATCAAAACAAAAGCAGAACTGTGAAAGTAATTAATTGAATTGAACATTTACTAGGTAATTGTCCTTGGAATGAATAGAATGTAATTTATCTTTCAGCTTCAACCCTGGAACGAGGTCACCTTCAGCCATGATGGAAATGTTTTAGGTGGATCTGTCAACGGGGTTCAATACAGAAAGAATACAAACGGTCCATTACAACGAACACCGTACGGAATTTCGATCGGGTTCGTGGATGGATACCGGAACTTCCAAGGATATATGGACTATGTTACAATTTACAAATGCACAAATATCAATATGTACACAAAGTACTAATGAATGGAGAACAAAGCGATGTCTGTGATATCTGAAATACCTCCTAGTATTTTTATAACATGATGAATATGTTTCACACAAATTTAAATTTTTCGTTTTATTTAGTTTTAGCGATATATATATTTGTAGCAGATTCTACAAAAAAATCCATCATTGCAAGATGATGTTCAATTAATTACATTTACAAAAGTCCAGAGCAATTGCTCGAAAATAAAGACGGAATGTGCATGAAAGTATAATTTTCGGCTATGCATGGGTAATAGTCTTTAACATATCTTTCTAACTAAAAGTCAAGGTTTTCTCTCAGGTTTATCTTTGATTAATAATGGATTTATACAAATCTCATGCTTATTGTCAAAGCAAGACCTTATGTATGAATATGAATGATTAGGGTTATCCTTTTTTTAAAGTTCAAAGAGAAAAAAAAATCTGTTTTCTTTAAGGATTCTGTTGAAATATTGGAACAAGTCACAACTCTAGAAGGAATTACTTTATTAGGTTACAGATAAGTTGAACAAAATGTTGATTACAAGAGTTCAGACGCAGTTTGGTCTTTTGAAATATTGCTTAAATACATTAAAACGAGATTTATCGTATTCCCTGGTCCTAGGCACTTACGTCCATACGAAAAGGGGATCCGATTATTGATTACCGCAGAAACGGAGGAAAATGATGAATACAAGCTCTCCAATGATTTAAGGAAGTACAAAATATAAATAGCCATACTCAGTATATGTAACATGTATTAACTAAAATAAAACGGAGAGATTTTGAAAATGAAGTGGAACTAGAATTCAAACATTATAATACAAGCGAGTACTGGGACTCGGAAGAATTGTATTTACTATACAATTAATCCGAGATTCCTCTGACTCTAACCCCTGGTTTTATATTGTGAAATGTGCAGGGGGAAAGCCGGGGATAGAGTCAGAGGATTCTCGGATTACCATGCCTTATACTCTATTTTTATTGCTCTCAATCTGTTTGAAACGTTTTTCTTTAAACACATGACACCTAGCTTCGAAAATAAATCTTTTTAACCTTAATAAGATTACACAGAATAGCATTTCTTCTTCAGACTTTTAGCTGGTATAAGCCAGAAAAAGTATAAAACACTGTACTGTCTCTTATGGACAGAATTATTTTACTTGACATTTTATTCTCAATGAGCCAAAATAATTGTGGTTTGGAAAGATCACCGAAAATCTATTTTTTGCGCTCTTTAATCGATATATCCCTGCAACTAGAGTAATTAATTTGTAGTTTCTAAACGTTTCTGTGACCTGATTTTTCATTCACCTTTCAGTGTGAAGTATTATGGGCTAAAATAATCTTACTCAGACTTAACTTACAATATTCAGCAAATAATTTAAGAAGTTCATTTTTCCAGTTTTACTTTATAAAAGTAAATCTGATTTGATTTAGTTATCTTTCCTAGAACATCTAATGTTTGATGTTTTATATATAGATGTACATACGGATCTCATATGTGATACATTAGAAAACAACCAATGATCTTAAATAGCATGCAGAATAGAGACCAGAAAAAAACTATTTTGGCCCAAAATATAATTTGTATTTGCTAATGTTTTGTTTATTATTTATTCTACAGGTAAAATTCAGGGTTCACCTTCATAGCTGTATCACATCTCTTGTGGCCTTTGTAATAATTCTGAGTGTCTTTCTTTGGTGGTCATTAGATTAGAATGGTGGGTAATGTGTACATATTAATAGGAGAGATAGAAACCAAATGAAAATTGGTAGGCTTTAAGAATAAATTTAAATACATATGCATACATTTGTGTGTATCGAGTTTTATCCAGAGGTAAAGTAATCATGATGTTAAAATATAAATGAAAGTAATTGTATAAAACCAACCTAAAAGAGCATCAAATGCTCCGATGTTTGTTTAACCTCATGCACACCAAAAAGAAACAATCCCTTATTTAAAAATAAATGTATATCCTGTTTGCCTATCACAATACTTTTTGCTGTCTATATCTGATTTCAGTACATGTATTTGCTTTTACATCCACAAACGTAAAAATTGCCCGCATGGACTTTCTAACAGAAAAAAAGAATATTTGTTTGAATGCGATGAAAAAAAAATAATGGCCTAAACTGAGAAAAGTATCCATGGTTAGACTGAAGAGAAAAATTAATAAGAACATAAAATCAGATATAGTATCTTCTTTTAACTTTAATTTGCTTATACTTATGGGCCGTATGGTCTAAAGTTATTTAATAAAGATATATATATCTTTTAAAATACATTTATTTACATATAGGGAAGAAGAGATTTAATTTACTACAACCAATTAAGTATTGAAAGTTTAATTCATCAAACGGAACTTAGAAATCAGAGCCCCGGATCATGAAGTAGTCTTAGACACTATAAATCAAAATTTCAGTCATTTACGAAACAAACATCTATTATAAACTGACAAATGAATATTAAAACCAACAACATGACTCCCTTTAGTCCAATGTTCTTAGATTTTAAAACTTGACATAAAAAATAATCCTTTGTGTTACATTCATGAAAATTTTGGATATTCTACCTTTCAAGTAATATAAAAGATAAAAATGACAAATATTAAAACTGTTTGGAGGCGAAATAATGAGCAATGCTTCTACTTGTAATTAGAGTAATTGGGCTTGTGATGTATATTATCATGTTTTGATAAAACAGCGTGAATTTTTATTCATTTTAAAATGTAATTTTGAAGAATCACATTCCTTTGAAATGATACAGTATACTCTCTTTTCCTTGTTTATGACTGACCTGATATATCGCACGTATATCATATTGATATTTAAAGCTATGCTGAAAAATGCCTCTATCATTTATTTCCGTCCTCACATCCATCACAAATGAACAATTCTTTAGTTCACCTCCTTTTTTTTTTTTTACATTCCTCCCTTTGTTTGTCATTTATAATTACTAAATGAAAAAGCTATAAGAAAACAAATCCAATATTCATAAATATCTTTGATTGATACATGTTTACTGTGTAGTCATGCTTGTTTTAAAGTCATTACGACCTAACAGTGGATGGACAATAAATTCTAATTAAACAATTTGACAAAGCAATCTTTAGAAATCAAACTTGAAAAAAAAATATTTATCTTTAAAATTTGATTCCCCCTAAAAAATAGTTAGCGAAACTCTTTTTTAATCCTAGTTTGAATTTAAAAAAAAAACAACATTTTTTCCCAAATTACATCATGCAGTCAACAGTCACATAAAACTGAAAGGCTTTTTTGTAAGGAGATAAACGACATTAATATGCTGATGTAACACTGTGTGACATCCGTTTCGTGTAAATCGAGCTTATTTTTGTCTTGTTCACGTTCGCAATTGTGCTTTTAAACAATGTAGATTGCAACACGCGAGCAAATTCATTATTTTAATCACTTTAAAACTAATAACCATTTCAATTTTAAAAGCATATTATTTGATTTGAGGTCTAAAAAATGCATTACGTGACGATTCCATATTATTGCTGCTGAATGATTAATCATAGCTTTGTGTTAAATCTGAAAGAACGGAACTGAGCTTGGTGTACTTTTAGGCATATAAAGCAGTAATCATTATACTAAACTTGACTGAGCACTAAGCCCTCTTTAATAAACATTACAGTATTCATACGGGTCACATGATTCCTGTGATCAATATATTAATTTTTGGTCTGAATCGAATCTAGTTATGATCTTAGGTTAAATGTACGAAATGTGATAAAATACTCTAATAAATGAAACACATTAAAACCCTGTAATAAGAGATATTTCTCAATTTAATAAATTTATCAAAAGCAAGTACCAAGCACTTTCGTAAAGAATTCTGTAAATGCCATATAATTTTTATGCCATATATTTTTTTTATCCATTGATAATTTTATTATTTATTTCCTATTCAAAATCCATATTGCTGCCAACTGCAGCAATTAGAACACACTTGTAAACTTGTTGAATTAATTTTCCAAAAGTATCTGCCAAATATGGCAGTTGTTTCATTTCTCTTCAACGGAATATAAAGATGGATAAGACGATATTTTTTGAAGATTTGACTCTTGATATAAATAATTTTAAGACGATGTATGTATTTTTTTCGATCATATATCCCGTTTAAAACAACAAAGAAAGCATTTTATTATTACATTACTTCACTGAAATTAACAACATAGATACAGCAAAAACGACTTACTTCACTTGACTTAATCCTCTTCGTTCCTTGTGGAACATAGGACTGTCTCTGTTGTAGTCCAGAGGACTCTGTTTTGGGCATATTTTTTTTTGCCAAATTCCAGTTTTTACCAAATTCTTCTATTTCTCCTCCAGCTGTATAAAGGATTGCCTCTTTTCCGATTTCTCTGAGGATTCCTCTCTAGAGGCAGTATAGTAATAGCACAGACAGGATTTCCCCCCATTAATTTATTTATGGTTCTAGACCTACAATTTCCACAAATGTCTCGTGGACACTTGTTGATGACGACCACGTTTTTCAGTCGTAAGAGTTTTGTGAGTCTTCAGGTTACTGCACCTTAAAGAGGACAGATTTCACTTTGGTGTGAAATATCTGAATTTTTGTATTCCCTGATTAATTTGCTGATTTACATACTGGTCTTAGCATTGCAACAGGTTGTATTCCTTTGCTTATTCTGGCTTTTATATCTCCCTAAGTGTCCCCTTATTTTCTTGATACTACCAAGATAAGTAAGTTGGTTGACCTCCTCAATATCTTCTTCAGTTGTTTCAGTTTCTCCTTTCTTGGTCATATCCTTCAATATGTTTGTCTTCTTAGATTTGATCTTTGTCTTATCTATTTCCTGTCTCACCCAGCTGTTTCGGCTTGTTTTTCATGTTTTTAAGAGCGTGAAACAGAGGAGCAAAGTCATCTGCATAGTCTAGGTCTTCTAAAATCTTGAAGAAGGACCAATAAATTACTTGCTACACAAAGCAATGTAATGTCCCTCTAATTTTCGCATACTACTAAGTTTGCTAAAACCACCATTCTTTGGTAGTTTGAGAATCAGTTTTTTCTTCCTCCGTTCAAGGATTCTCTCTTCTTATATTGCATTGAGACTGTTCCAAATGTCGTGAGAAATCAGTGGTGTTTAAGGGCGCGTGAAGTTAGACACAACTGGTGGTCTATACACAAACATGTCTATTCCTCTACTTCTTGTCCTCTAGCCCTTAATGCCTCTATTTGTATCTCGTCAATTCCTGCTTTTCCATTTTTATGGATTTAATTAATAACTGTTTTTACTTCCTCCTTGCCTATTCCCTCAATTTTTAGATTCAGGTCTTCCCCTGGGTTAACTGATGATTGTTTCTCCGGTGTTGGTATATTTTAATACTTCTTTAAAGTGTTCGTTAGACATTTTTCTAACTTTTCCTCTAATTTTACCAACATTTCAACATTTTTATCTTTGACCAGCGTAATAGAAGTCGTCCTACATATTTTTATCACACAGGAAAAGGAATGATAAATGCAACAGGTCATTCTTAAAAAGAAAGTGTGATGAAAACAGTGAAAATATGTACATTTTGTACATGTAAGCATCTCAAATCAGATAATTTCAGATGATTTGTCAAAAGAATGTTAAATATGCATTATATCAGTAATATATAAAGTTGTTGTTTAGACCTTAACGACTTGAGTACTTGCGAATGTGAAGTTTACGTGCAGAGATTTAATGTTTCAAAAAAATTTATTTAAAGTAGGAAAATTTCTTAACTTTTAAAATGACAGAATTACCAAATTATACAATATTGACAGATATGGCGGTTTTGACCACAATCACTGTTACCATTGTTTGAAACCTACTCATCGCATTGCTATTCTCATGGGAACCCCTCGAAAACTAAACTCTAAACTCTATAGAAATTTTCCCTATTCGTCAAAGGAAAGAGACTAACAGGCATTGTGTCCGTTGTATTAAACTACATGTAGTTTTCTCGTAAATAATTTGTAAAATGATTTTAGTATAAGTAAACGTACACTATTTTTTCTGAACAGATGAGAAATCTCGCAAATATTTAAAATCTGCATTGTAGCCACCAGTCTTTTTGTTAATGGACTCTCGGAAGTGGTTGGAATAGCCCGACTTCTTATTAGCGGCTGCAGGAGCGGCCGATCTATTTGTGGTTGTGTGAGAAAGTGCATATTGGGAATTGGGAATTTTTTTTTTTTTGGTTCGATAGAATAATTCCATAATGGTATTATGATAAATATCATGAATCAAAACAGCATAATATTGCTTTATACAAAATCTTAATTGTTGATATTATGTTTTAATTTTTGTTTCTTATCAGAAAATTATTTTATGATTTTACAAATCTATATCTGCATCTACATCGCCCATGTAGTACTTATCTACGATAAGTAATACGTGGGAGTGTGTAAGACATGAACTCTAATCGTTATGAGTTCATTCCGGATATTATTTTCAGTGCCGAAAGGGATAAATAAGAATTGTTTTTAAGAACTAGAACATTTTTTTTGTCTGCATATCCGCATTGAAACATTTATGATTAAAAATTTGGGTAGATATATGTATAACATTTGTCTTTTTTGTTTTGAAAATAAATTCTTATCCTTCTCTAATTCCTTTCAATATAAAATGCACTGAAAAAGTTCAGTAATGCCATTTTTGTTTATCTTCCAATTTCTGTAATGAAATATCTATGCATTTTGTTTTACTTTGAAATGAAAATATTTCTTATTTTAAAAAAAATTAATGAGTGTTTTCCACGGACCTTTACTTAAGGTAATACTTTAAATGCTTAAAAGTTTTTTCTGCCGACTTGATACCTTGCTTAAATCTTAATCTGTTCCTTGTAGTTGTTCTCTTCCTAGCGCAGTTGTTAGCGCAATAATCGCTTCTCACCGCTGTAATTCGATCCCTGTGATCGGCAGTGGTTGTATGTAAGGATAAGGTGGTCGCCAGTACGGATATATGGGGTTTCTTCGGGTACTAAAACGTCCCTAAAATCATGGCAAGGTGACAACTGTTCAATATATGAAAATCAACCCATCCTACTTATTTGACTGCTACATGTGCTCTTTTATTTATATCGACTTTCTTATCAAACAGATAAAAAAAAGGAGTTAAAATGTCTTCCTTCGATATTTTGTAGATTAGAAATAGAAACGCTATTTAAATTATTCACAAAGACACAATAAATGAAACAATTAATTCAATAAGACTATTTTTACACTTTTTCGCGTCATTACATTGTATTCTTATACGTTTGAATGATAAAACTCTACAAAAGAGTCGTAAATATTAAGGTAACTATTATTCCATACCCAAACCCAGTGGGCTTGCTTTTTCATGAAAACAATACATGCATATTCATTAAACATGCAATTCTACATGGGGTTTGATGATGCATAGCAACCTCTCAATAATAAATACGAATTGATAGATCTAATCAAAAATTTGAAGGAAAAATATTTACATTATCTTCCTCTCATTATGAAAATAAAAATAGAGACTGCTTTTCACTAATGAGAAAAAAAGACATCCATCAATCAGCAGATGTGATAAAATGTGACAGCTGTTTCTTATGCAACATAATTCTGTCATGTTATGATGAACGTAAAATCACACACGATGCAGATAACACCGAACTAGGAATTACGATTTGTTTTCCAACTTTGATGTGGTCATTTCAAATTTATTTTGAAAATTACAAGATCTATTTCATAACTGTAGATAATAGTATAAATGTACATTTGTTCATGATAAATGAATTATTACAAATAAAATACACTCCTATAGATTGATTTGCGAATGATTAGTATGCTAAATTTTAAACTGGTCAAAGGATAATTAAGGTTTATGAAAGGAATTTAATGTAAAGTTTCATTTTTAAAAAAAATACGTCAATCAACCTTATGTTTCAAGTATTACGTGCACGGCAGTTTAAAATGTCCTTTGCTTAAAATAAGGAATCGTGGTTTGAAATTGCTACCTACGTAATGCTATTTCAGGACAAAATTGTCCCTTTGTTTTTTGCGGAGAAGACTATGGTAAGCCATCTAATCAAAACTCTTGTTGGTGACTCGAACAGATCACTGACTTCATTTGTTCTTACGTCATGAAAGATTCGCGGTTTTTTGACAAAATCTACCAGGAAACCGGAATCAGAAGGGTATATATTGCTATTTATCATCCATTTATGAACAAAAAAAATTGTGATAATAATAGACAAGAATGTTCAGGACAACTGTTTGGATATTTATTCTTTTTCATCTAACAGATACAATCTTGGCAAATAATGATGTGATCGGTACAGGTGTGTGTCTGCAAAAATATGATTTTCTCAATTATATATATTTATATATTTTATATATTTATTTATATTATTCAAATTTATATAATTGTGAGTATCTTTGATGAATATGGCATAAAACTTTAAATTTTGAAATTTATTTGTATTATATTATATCCACCGCATTTTCAGACTGTATAAAGCCATTCGACATCTACTTCGCCATCGACGGATCAGATAGCATTTCTTATAAAGATTACCAGTTATTAAAGAAATCCATATTTGATCTTGTGGACCAGCTGAATATTGGTGAAGGAAATGGTCGGATGGGTATGCTTGTATACAGTAGTTCTTTAGCTACAATGGTGGAACCGTCCTTTGATAGGGATTACCTTAAAGAGCACGCCATGAATTTACCCCATCCTCAAGAGGGTACTAATACTGCTCTCGGAATCAGAACCATGACAGAAATCTTCCAAGTGGCGAACCGAACTGGGGTCCCACAAATAGGAGTTGTCATTACTGACGGTAGATCAAAAACGCCCGAAGAGGCAGCAAGGGAGGCAAGAATAGCCAAAGACATAGGAATAAATATGTACTCAGTTGGAGTAACAGAAAACATAGATATAGATGAGCTCAAAAGCATTGCTTCCTCTAAGGCAAATGTCCTTTCGGTTCAGTCGTTCGGCCAATTAGCTTCCAGAATACAAGATGTTGTGCAGCTTGTGTGTCCAAGTAAGTTGATTTCACAAATGATTTAAGGTTTTCCATCCCTAATAGGACCTAATTCTTTATCCTTAAATATCCATCAAGTATAAAATACTCTGATATCAATTCAAAGCATTTTACAGTAGAAACGATTTACCAAGAGAAAGTTTCAAAAATGTAATTAACTAAGTAGCAAATAATTAACAGAAACTGCATTGAAGTCTATGGAGACAAGCGATTTTTTTAAAATAAAAATTCAAATAATAAGAATATCAATAAATACTGTAGTTGAAAGATGCATTAAATCATCAGAAATAGAATGACAACTGAAAAAAAATTACCGTATAGATATTTTTAAATTAATTTTTATTACTTAAAAAAGAGGGAGATAACTCTTCAACAAAGGTCAAGGTCATAAATTAGGACACGTTCCATTCTTACATACTAATAGTAATAAATGGGAATGATGTCTAAATATACTGAGTATTCCACCCGTACACATCTGATATGTATTCAAATTCATTGAATACGAGGCTATTAGGGATGGAATACCTTAATGTTTAAAGAAATTTAAAGAATAAGGATAATGATCCACGAATAACTTCTTTAGATTAATATAAAACTATTGTTCCATATATAGCTACCACCACCACTACCACCACCACCCCTGCACCAACCACTACAACCATCCCAACCACCACACCAGAGGGCGCCACTCCTCCTATGCCACCAACAATGGCGCCTACAAAGGGACCATGTGACGATTGCAAGATGTTAAATGGAATCGGCTTCAACCCTCACCCCGATAACTGTGATAAATTTACTCAATGTTATTTCGGACCAAACGGACAAGTTCGTATGGCATACCGACAGTGTCCGTTTGGTCAATACTGGGACCAGAGTGTACTCACTTGTCGACCATCAGAACAAGTTCCATGTCAGAAAGGTATGATAAATTGTCGAAGAATGCTTTTTTCAGAATGAATAAGCTTATTTTACGATAATTACACGAAACTGCTAAATAGTCTCCTTCATATGACGACTATTTCTTTTTAACTGTTCATAGATAAATGTGGTAAACCGCGAATCACGTCGTATGCGTACAGCAATACAGGAAACTGCAGGGCGCATTGGGCTTGTAATTTTGGAAAGGCAACAGCGACATGTTGTCTAGAGGGTTTTCGATACGTTCCATACGTAGGCTGCAAAAAAGACCCGAAATGTACCGATCCATGCCCACCAACGTTTCAACAAGAAGGTCCTTGTGACACTAGGATGATCTTTAATGAACCCAGATATTTCGAGCAATTTGTCAACGGCTTAGGATGGTTAAAAATGCCTTGTGCTCCTGGAACCCAGTATGATCCAAACACCTGTCAATGTTCTCTACATGCTTCCTTTTTACCTGGAAAAGGTAAGATTGTGATTTTTCTTTTATGAAATGAATTATGGCAGAATTTGAGCTTGAGTATTTCTGATAAAAATCCTTTCATCAGGGGTTTTTTAATTAAAGATTTTCAGTTTTGAAGTTATGTAACTTATTTGAAAACGAATTACGAAAATAAGAGATACGAAGAAAAGAATTATTGGTCATGTTCTCCAGGTCAAAGTCTGATATATCATAGATGTAAAATTATGTTGAAAATGATCCACTTTCAGAGTGCAAAGCAGAACTATTCATACCATTTAGCAATGATGCCAAAGATTATTCCGGAAAGAACGTTTATGTGGAAAATCAAGGTGTAAGAATCCTTGGAAACGGTTTGGGGTATTTCAATGGATCCGCTCGTCTCATCATCAATCGCTTTGCTAACATCGATTTTTACTCTGACTTAGTGGTCAAAATGAGATATTTAGACGACCCAAGGTCATCCGGACTTCATGCTTTGTTCAGCAATGGCGACTGTTGCGATAATCCAGCTACAATGTTGTTACTGAAAAGTAGAGACAATCTTCACTTCATGGCTAAAACAGAAGTGAAGATGAAGAATGAGACGATAGACCGGGTGACTACATTTCACCTTCCAGCTAAAGTAAGTTTTATGTCACCTGCAGTTCTTTCAACCATTTTAAACCAACTCTTCTCTATAAATAAGAAAATAATCAATTATTAAATCGAGTTTTGAAATATAGTTATCTTTTTTAGGAATATCGGAAACTCGTATACTTTTATAAATATAACACCCATTTCATTATTGCATAGGTAAATGAGACAATGAATTTTAAAAATATGATAATTGAAAAAATAACAAATTCCAAATTTTCATGTTATGCATTGCAGCGTGGAAATTGGAATGAAGTCTACTACATGCATGATACAAAGTCTCTTGAGGGCAAAGTAAATGGAATAGGAATGGAAACCTGGGCTTATGGACCCATCAAACGATCCAGGGCCGCTTTACATATCGGCTATGGCAGGGGACTCCAGAACTTCAGGGGATATATGGATTACGTAACCGTGTTTCTTTGTAGGCCTCGCTACCTGTAATGAAATCCAATTAATTTTTAAACAGCTGTGATACAAATATTCTCTGTTATAAAAAACATTTATAATATACCTGTGAAGGTTTTTACCTTTATTTAAGTTTGTGCAATATTTATTTAAGTCTTCAAAGTAAACACTTTCATATATTATGTTATTTCTTTATGAAGTTTAACCATATAACACCAAAAATATTCCAAGTGTGTCATTCAATATTATGTGCAATAATTAAATCATTTACATTTTTTTTTATATGTTCAATATGCTTCTTATTTATTTTGTAATAAATATGTTTATATATTTTGGATTAACATGAGTTGCTCAATGTTGCTTGGGGAAGCAAAGTGATTCTTGACAAAATGGTATCAATCCATTGTCATGGTTTGTACCATGTAGTAGTAAATAAAAACAAGCATTCACACGAGTCCATAACAGTGATCAAAAATACAATTTAACAAAAGTACCATAACTGGCATACTGAAATAAGTAATCATTTCCGAAAATAGTTTTTTGTATTTGTCAAAAGTTAAGTATGCAATTGTCTGAAATTAGCTTAAAGGTAGGTATTCTTCAAATAAAAAATTCACTTCCCAAGACCTTACTTGATTTGAAATCCCTTAAAGACAGATGATACAAAAATGGATGCCCGGATTGATATATATTTTTTGGACCAGTTTTGATTGTAAATGATGCAAATGTAAAATATCTAAAATAATTATTAAGAAATTGTAAACTTTCTATGATGTTCAATATTCTACCTACTTGCCGTCACCCTTATAAATCTATACAACTTTTTATAACTTTATATGACACTATTGGGAAACTTTGAATGAATAATTAAAATATATACGGTTAAACTTAATCATTTTATTTATATAAACATGATTGTAGTTGTTACTTTCGTGATTTTTGAAAAAAAAAATTGTATCATCTGTTCTTAGACATTTTGCTAAACTCAGTATTAATGTTTGCTTTCTCTTTAGCTCCACACTTCAATATCGTATATAAAATACACAATATACGATTATATTTCAATGCAAAGTCATTCAGATATAGATTTATCTACAGTATTAATGAATCTGCCAACCATTATAATTTTACATTTGTGTAATTATGTCTCTAAAGTATTTTACTACGACAGCAGAACCCTGTTAGATCCTTAATTACCAATTTCCTGTCAAAACTTATTGGTAAATAAACATAATGGTTTTTTTTTTGTCGATCATATTTAACTTTTCACTCGCGTTAGCTAGAACATTTTTTAGATCTGTGAAACAAGGCTCTCATAGTTATCTATCGATCAGTACTTTATTTCTAAAGCCACCCTAAAGATATGAAAGTTTAATGTTTGTAGGATGATCTTTGTTCTAATTAATTAAATGTAATTCCAAGAAGGATATAAGAGACAGAAAAAAGTGATTAGACCCAAACTTGGCAGAGGTTTTAAGATGAGATGGTGTATTCAAAAGTAACGATTTGCTGTCAAACTAGATAAACATTCAACTTTACCCCTGGAATTATCAAAATCTCGGAAAGATGGTATACGGCGGTTTCTTTGAAAGTTTATCCGTAGTTTTATTTCTGTGGTGGTCATTGCTTACCTGTAATTTTGTGGTTGGTGCTGAATCAGGTATAAGAAATGAAAGTTATTATGTATTAGAAGGGGATTTTTCTCATCTCTTGAACCCGTCTACCTTTTTGGAAACGTTCTCCGCCATTCACAGTAGCACCCTTTGTAGTGGTGACAAAGACTGTCAAAGCTTCTTGTTTAACGGCGAAACAAAGCAGGTACAACTGTTATCAACCATCGAAAGTCCAGGCAGTCCATCTGGTTGGAATGTGAACTGGAGGTACTTTGCTAGGAAAATTGGTAAGCTTAACCATTTTCATTGATAACTATCATATAATTGTTCTTTTGAATTAAATTCCTTACAGAGGAACATAAAGCATATAAATGCAAAGCAACAAATTTAAGGTTCCTTTTATGCAATTACTGTAGTAAGTATTCCGCTAAATTATTTCAGTGCGGAAGGAAAAATTAATGCTCAATACTAATTATTGCAAATAACTGATAACTCTTTTTGAAATACACGAAAATGTAAATATTTTTTTTTTACTCAACTTCAAATTTAAGAGAAATCTAAATATAACATTATTTTACAAACATTTGCTACTATATGTAGTCCACTGTCAAAGCAGCACCTTTGCCGTAAGATCTGAGCGAGGACGATCGCATGTATGCTTTGATGTCATTAACTAGAGTGTTCCAAGAAACGCATGTGTCGCCTGCTTTGTAGCTTCATTAAAGGTGTAAATAAATCTAAGGGTGGTCAGCTTTTTATTTACTAATAGCATGATAGACCAATAGTTCATTTGCCTGCAAAGAAAAAATGGCATCCATGGATAGTATGACTGCGATAAAATCTGACAATCAAAGAAAATAGGGTTCCATAATCCAACAATCCCCCAAAAGAAATTTCAATCGGTCTGTACTACATTTTTCAGTCTACACGATCCATTGCTGAATACCGATCCCGATGTATTTTTATGGTATTTAAATATAAGTTTGTGCGGTAACTAAACATCATACAGTTTCAAAGTACTTTTTCATGGGCTAACCGTGTTTCCAATAATCATTCAAAAAAGATTTCAGTCTGTCTTTACTACTAGTAAAATTCTCAGTCTACACGATCCATGGTGGAATACCGATCACGATGTATTTTCACAGTATTTAAAAAAAATATGTTTGTCTGGTTACTGAATATCATTCGGTTTCAAAGTACACTATCATGAACTCATAAACATGTATAAATGTTAATTATCTTAACCCTGCATCTCAAAATTCAAAAGTTGTATGTTTAATTAAACTGCCCGAGATATTTTTTGCAAAGTAGGTCAAAGGTCAAGGTCAAGTGAATTGTAATGCTGGTATTTTTCATATCATCTTATGACAAACAATGCACATGCTAAAAAGCATGGACTTACCTCTTAAATGTCAAAAATATGCTGTATATCGGCAATATGAGCTATAATTAAAAGTAGGTCAAAGGTCACGAAATCGGTAGTCGCCCGCGTGGTGCAGTGGTTAGAGCGTCTGCTCTAGAGTCGCGAAGTAAGGAGTTGATCCTTACTTCGCGGGTTCGCATCCCAATGTGGGACGTGGAGACCGGTCCTTCGGATGAGACCGTATAAACCGAGGTCCCGTGTCGCAGTAGGTGCTGGCACGAAAAAGATCCCTCACTGCTCAATGGCCGTAAGTGCCGAGTATAGGACAAAATTTGCAGCTCTCCACCGGCAAGTGGTGGCGTCTCCATATGAGTGAAAAATTCTCGAGAGGGACGTTAAACAATACACAAACAAACAAACAAACGAAATCGGTAACCATGATATTTTACAAAAGTCATAGTGCCAAGCAATATATTTGCAAAATATCAAATCCATACCTCCTACAGTTCTTGAGGCACAGGATGTATATATCCAAATGATAGAACAAACATTATTTTTTATAATAATCAGAGCAATGCTTAATTTTATATTCCTTGATAAATGCATCTACAAGAGATATACAGAACTGGTGAACAGGTTCTGATACAGCTGCCAAATATATTCATTGAAAAATATGAATGCAAAGTACATGTGCAATAAAAAATATTCGCCTTATCCAGTATTAATATAAATGATGATGTGGTAAAAGAGCCTTTAGCTATTAAAAAAGGTGTTAATTTGTTTTGATATTGATTTGCCATTGAAATTTTCTTTTGAACTTCTTGCAAATGAACACGTCTTAGCTATTTCATAATTTTGATCCATAGCAGAGAAATAAAGTCGACTTGTGATATCTCCAAAAAAAAAGAAACTTCAATTAAAACAGACAAAATATCTGCATTAATTAGCGGCTAAAATGGAATAGGTGAAGATAACAAATAGAGTTCGATCTCATAAATCATTTAAACAGTGCAGAGTGTGATCAGGGCAAAAAAGAAAAAAAAACACACACCCCCCCCAAAAAACCCCCACACACACATGGAAACACCAGTGCTGGTATCAGGTGCCTTGGAGGAGTAAACATTCCCTGATGACCGGTCAATCCCGCGGTGAGCCCTTAATATTGATTAGGGAAACAGAGTAATTTTGAAATCTTTGTTGCCTTAAATAAGCCATTTAACAGCATTAATGAAAAAGACAAATGAAATATTGTATTACAATAAGATAACATGCCTTTCCATGACTACGTACGGCTGCAAAAATTCATGAAAGCATATTATATTACATATTTCAAAAATGCAAACAACAAACCGGGAAAACTATGAAATTTTTTTGTAAATATGTCATCAATGTTCCTTGCATGCATTCCCAACAAAAATTTACTACAGTTAAGTATAGTTTACTATAGGTAACTTTAGTAAAAACTTTGATAATTTGATTTTATATGAAATTTTACTCTGGAACATTTTTTTTGAGATTTCAAACTTAAAATCTCTTAAATTCGGTAACAGTGATATAAAATTTGGAAATAATATGTGTACGAGGGGTGATCAAAAAGTTCGCGAACTATCTCTACATGTAAAAAAAAACCAGAATTCGGATCAGAATGAAATTTGGCACACATATAGTCATACACATATTCTATAAAAAACAGGTGCTATATAATGTTTTGCTCCTTGTTTGTGACGTCACAATGTGAAAATAACGTCAGTATGTAGGTGATTTGTGACAAAAAATGGTTGACTCAGTCGTACTCGAGCAACGAACGGCTGTAAAGTTTAACGTATATCTTGGAAATTCCTTCGCAGTAGAATATAATAATTTGTACAAGGTCTACGAAGACAAAAGACTTTCCAGAAGTTCAATCATTAATAAGATTGATTGTTTAAGGCAGGGAGATGGTTAAAAATGATGTTTGTTCCGTTGCCCAGCAAAAGCAAGCCGGGGAAAAGATGTGTCCTTAGATGAGCAATTTGTTATGAAAGAACGCCAAGTTACAATTAGAAAAATGGTTGAATATCTTAACAATAATATAATAATTAAATCCCTAAAATATCGTTTACATGTACTTTAGACTTTAAACATATGAGATATGATTAAAAGAGGTCGTCAATACTTTATCCACATTGGATAAACGACCTTTCCGAGACACAGGACTCGGGTTTTGATGATCACCATGCTAATTTTGGGAAGGGATGTCCTTATCCACCCATCCTATTTCCGAGATTTGGCCACTTCTGACAGATGGACTGTTCTTGTTATAAAAAATAATTTGCCTGGAAAGAAATATAAAGATCGGAAAAATCTTTTAGCTTCTGTGAACAGAACGCCAAGGAGCATGTCACGTGACCGCCTTGATCACGTGATTCGCGCATAGGCAGAAGAATGGCAGATGTACATTATAATTAGAGAGGACTACTTTAAAAAATAATGAGCACTGAAACTTCATTTTATTTCTTTTAAGGAAGTAATTCAATTAGTTCGCGAACTTTTTGATCACCCCTCGTATATACAAATAATAGTTCCATTTAATATAAAAAAAATTTGCATGTATGAATTGAAGAGCAAATAATATAACAATCTGAAATCCATAGTAAAAATAGTTCGATTTACTATAGTAAAAAAGTTTGATACTTTAGTAAATTATAGTTAACCATAGTAAAACTATAGTTAACTATAGTTAACTATAGTATTTTTTGTTAAGGATGTTATAAATATTATACTGTGCAAAAGTTCATCAAAGCATACAATTATATAACCTATTTCAAAATGCACACAACAAACCATGATAACTACATGTATAAAAAAAAAAATCATGTTAATATGTTATCAATGTTCCTTGCATGTATGTTATGAATATTTTTGAAAGAAAGAAATTGAAAACGAACACACACTTGCACACACAATTGATGAAATTATTTTGCTGAAGTTATTATTTTTTTTACTTTTACAAAATAAATCTTGCAAACTTTCTTCATACTGTATTTTACATTTCAATTACTTTTTAGGAAATAATAATATATTCACTTGTATCCATGTTCTATATGAAAGTCATAAACTGTGCAGTTGTTGAATGTCAATTAACCTTTTCTAAATATATTTTTAATGACTTCCTGTTTAAAGACATTAACTTAAAATAGATAATGCAAAAGCCTGATCATCGAGACATGACCAAGTTATTTTACGGTGAGCTATTGTTTGCCTTTCCATCTCAGTGGGTTTTTGTTGCCTTTCATTATGGGTACTAATGTGTTACACAAACTCATCTGTTGCGAATTTCAAAGTAAAAATACTACTTAAAGCTATATGCACTCTTTAGACGTTTTTGTATTAAAAGTGTAAGTTGAATTAGAATGTATTTACATGAAGTGATATTTTGAAATTTTTATCTTTCAGAATTCTAAAATAAATAAATAAATAAATAAAAATATCCGAAACGTAAAAAGGTACGTTTTATTGATTTCAAAAGATGTAGTGTTTAGTAACCCTCTATTATATTTCACATATGCCGCCGAATTTTAGAATATTTCAATTTATATGGCTCATATATTTCGAGAAGAAAACATCCAAAAACGCAGGAATATATATATATATATATTTATCTTAGCCGACATTATGGTGATCTGATAATTACAAAATATAGAAAATGTGTTTTGGCGAAGTCGACAGCTATTGTTGTATAGACTCAAATTCATAAATAGAACACTGTTTGCAGAGAGACATTCCGATATCAATTGGATTTGAGACAGAGTTCATTCCACTCAAACCGTCACGGAAGCTCAGTCGGTAGAGCACCTGCTCCGTGATCGGTCGTGAGTTCGAATCTCGGCTGCGACTGACCTAAGTCGATAAAAAATGGGTAGTAACTGTTCCTTCGCCAAGCGCTCGGCACTTTGAAGTGAAAGTTGCGGGTCCTTCGGATGATACCTTAAAAACCGAGTCCCCGTCTCACGGCAGGCGTTGGCACGATAAAGAACCCTCACTGCTCAATGGCCTTGAGTGTCGAGTAGAGGTCTAAATTTGAAGCCTTTCACCAGTGTATGGTCGTGACGTCTCTATATGAGTGAAAAATTCTCAAATGGGACGTAAAACAAAAAACAATCAATCATTCCACTCAAAAATTGTTTATTAGTTTTACTTTTGTGCTATAAGCTGTTATAGTTATTGAAGCTTTATGATAAATGATACATGTACATGTATGATTACTAGCATTCATTTTACGATGCTCAATACTATAGTATACGTTTGAAATTGATGATTTTAAAAAATATATATTATATTTTTCAAACATACATCATCCAGATTTCCCACTTAAAATCATATTGGTTTGTTTGTTTGTTTGTATGTTGTTTAACGTCCCTCTCGAGAATTTTTCACTCATATGAAGACGCCACCAATTGCCGGTGGAGAACTGCAAATTTTGTCCTATACTCGGCACTTACGGCCATTGAGCAGTGAGGGATCTTTTTCGTGCCAGCACCTACTGCGACACGGGACCTCGGTTTATACGGTCTCATCCGAAGGACCGGTCTCCACGTCCCACAGTGGGATTCGAACCCGCGACGTAAGAATCAACTCCTTACGCCGCGACTCTAGAGCGAACGCTCTAACCACTGCGCCACGCGGGCGACTAGACGTATTGGTAAAAAGCACTCACAATTACAAAACCATATAACTTTAAAATGGATAAAATCGATATTTAATTTCAGAGCCTCGAGTATGTGACGCAGGATGGGAGAAATTTGGACAGTCATGCTATTTGTTCAGCCTCTCATATGGCAGTTGGAATAACGGAAAGGTATAATTAATTCATTTGTTGTACCATGGTTGTATATTGCTATTTTCTAAAAATTCCATGTCTCATATTTTACAAATAGTTCATCAATAATCAGATATTTGTGAAGAATGCATTATGGATTACAGTTTAAAATATCAGTAAAAAAATTAAAAATTCAGTTCTTTTTATTTAAGTATTAAAGTCGATTCTGGACTGATATTCTGTTTTCAACTCAATTCCCTACTAATAAATGAATAATATATTGATTTTTTCAGGCTTTTTGTGAGGGACAGGGAGGGTACTTGGTTGAATTAACCAGCTTGGAGGAGGATACATTTGTAAGAGATTATGTCAGAAACAGGGGATTAACGGGTAAAATACAACTACAAACTTTCAAAACTATATGGCAATCTTAGAATATCATTTATTATTTAATTATGTCTATTTTTTCATACGATATTTCATCAAGCTCAAATTGGTTTTCAAAAAAGGCAATCTTTTATGCACCATATTGTTTTGAAACACAATGCAGAACAGATTTTTACAAAACAAAAATAAAAACCTGATGCTTCTCAGAAGAAATCAAGTATCCCTGAAAAGTAATTTTTTTTGAGGAAATGAAACATAATTTGTATTAGAAGAAAAGAATAAGTAATGAAATAAGTAGCATATTCATTGGGAAGAAAGTACTATGTTCAAGTTAAGTGACTGTCAAATGATCAATAATTAGGGAAAACTTGTAAACTTCATGAAAATGATTGAAATAAAATTTGAAACAAATCGCACAAAAAGTGATTCCTATAGGATATGGGGTGCAAATGAAAAGAAAAGCCGGGATACATGGATATTTAACTCAAACAAATGTAAAATCTAATACATGTAATTGATTAATATGATTTCTATAGTCGCGTTTTGAAATATTTGCATTATCGGTTGGTTAAATGAAATAATTAAAATTGAGCTTGTATCACATGCACGTGTGAAATTTGAACAATCAATTATAACGTCGTTTGTTCTTTAAAATTAGTCATAAATTTCATAAACGAAATTAAAAAAATGCAATAGACAAAGTTAAGCTCAAATATTTAACGTTTATACATAAAGAATAAGGATAACCATATGGTATTAAACTGTTAAAAGGATAATCCTGAACTCAACCTCAAGAAACCCTCAGGTTACGAAAATATAATTTACCCTGAATAGATCTTACAATGTCACTGGCTATAGAACGTATTATATTAAAATGAAATAATGAAACCACCAAAAAAATGTAATGATTTTATTATCTTTCACCATTTAGGATATGTAATCAAACATTAGGAGTAAAATGAACCCCAGTGTGTTTGTTAAGTATTATAGGTGATTCTTTCTTTAAATTCGTGAATAAATCATGTATGAATCGGAATGCCATGATAACACATGAAACTGAGGAATTCATATGTGCATTATTCCTGCTACTTTTTTTTGATGACGTACCTTATTATTATAGCTTTTGAAACCCGCGACAGTTGGATTGGAGGAACAGATGTAGCATCAGAGGGCTCATTCGTTTGGTCTGAAAGTGGACAACCCATAACGTACAATAATTGGGGTCCTAATAACCCGGATAACGGCGGTGGAAATCAACATTGCCTAATACTGTTCCAACCTTCAGACTACAAGTGGCACGATACACAGTGCACAAACACAAATTCTTATATTTGCGAAAATTAAACACTATTATTAGTTACTGTGGAATCATCATTGTTCGTGGGGGACCAATGTTCGCGGATTTCGTGGGTCATCCCTACCCACGAATATACATCCCCACGAATGTTTATTTTGTAAACACATTGATTCATTGAATCTACCTTATAAACGGGTAACCAACGAAATTACGTCCACACGAACAAGTACAATTTTGCTTGCCCACGAACATTGACCCCCACGAATTAAAATGATTCCACAGTATTTGGTTTTTAAAACTTGTTGACAACCAATTTAAACAAATGAATTAAAGAAGAATAACCTCCTGATCAAGGAAATGATTAATTAATTGTACGTTGTTTTACGTCCCACTTGAGAATTTTTCACTCATATGAAGACATAACCAGATACCGTTGAAGGGCTTTAAATTAAGATCTTTACTCGGCACTCAGGGACCATTGTGAAGTGAGGGATCATTATTGTGCCAACACGGGGCATCGGTTTTTAAGGTATCATCTCAATTCATTCAATTCAATTTATTCACTCAAAAACCATGTAAATGGTACATGAGGTACATAAACATATAAAACATATATACATATGATACAGTGGGTCAAGCAGAAGGTGAGATTAATTCAGTTATATATAGCTAGGGAGAACAGACCATACTATTAATCTTAGTAATAAATGTACATAATGTTTTCAAAGATTCAACATCATTTTGGCACATAACTTCACAAAACTTCATAGTGTTTGGCTTAGAACAAAAATTTTGGTTCAAAAAAATTTTCCTCGGTTGGTTTAAAGCACTACAGTCTAAAATATGATATTCATCTCCTATCTGATTACTATCACATAAGCTACAAAATCTTTCATTTCTTTGAGTACCATTCCATCTACCTGTTTCAACTGGAAGGTGGTGGTTTGTGGTTCTAAAGTATTTCTAAATTTACATGATAAGAGTGTTTAATATTTTTCGCACTCAAAATTGGTTTTAAAAATTCTATAATTTAAACTTTTTGAAGATTCTTGAACTTCACTATTCCACTTTTGAATATACTGATCTTTTAATCTTTGTTTGACTGTAGCAGTTATCTTGAAAAAACGAAAATTTTGCAACTATGTTTCGAGGTTTTGTATTGTATTCGTCAAATTTTCCCATTCTGTGCACTCTCTCAAAAGAGATGTAGTCGTCAATTTTCATCTTATGTTTTAAAAAATTATGTAACACTGTCTTACAATTTTCGTTTCTTTTTTCGGGGATACCACAAAACACTAAATTGTCCCTCATCGATCTGCTCCGAAGATCAGTAATAGATTCCTGTAGCTCAACATTTTTCTTTTTTAAAGTGTGAACACTTGAATTGAGTTCCTTGTCCATTTTCCTTGAATCATCTTTTAACTGTTTTAATTCTTTCTCAGCAATGTGTTTCACACTGTCAAACATGTCACTTATAGATCTGCCACTCATCTTTGCCTCTGTCACGATCTCTTTCATTGTTTTTATTTCACCCTCAAATCTTTGCATCTTATTTTCAAGTGAAACAACTACTTCTGCCAATCTATTAATAGTACTCAGTTTATTCTCAATATCACACATTCTCTTTTCCAAAGAAGATCTGTCTGTTTCAATGTTTGTGAATCGTGCATCTATTTTTAGAAGAATGGTATGTAAAGTACTAAGAGTAATTTCACTTGTCTGTTCATGAACCCCCTCCATTCCTCTATATATAACTGAGTGACTTTGCGATACTAAGTTCGCAGTGTCCGTTACTGATGTAGTTACTGAAGTAATATCTGTCATGATTTAAAGACTTTTGGCAGTGAAAACCACATACGAAAAAAACATAAAAGGTAGAAACACCTATGTATTGAGTTCTGTATACAAAACGTCGTGAGACGCCATGAGTAGTTTCATATAGTGTTCAGTCTTATAGTCACTGAATAAATTAGGTTAAATAAACTTCAAAACTCACCAAATCCTGCTGGTTTACACTCCTATGAATAATTACACATTACTTAATCTAACATCACAACTTTAGCCCACACTTGATGTTATTTGTAACGTTTTTACCATTTTTTGCGGAGCTCATTTTTACACACCTTTTTCTTCTCTTTGACCCTTGACCTTCCATCTGAAAGACCCGCTGCTTTCACTTCAAAGTGCCAGCGCTTGGCGAAGAAACAGTAGCTACCAATTGTTTATGGACTTAGGTCTGTCGCGGCCGGGTGAACCCACTCCAATCACGCTGTGAGCACCCTACTGACTGAGCTACCGTGATGGTCATTAAGCAATTGAAAAGCAATGAAAAAGCTCGAAAAATTTCTATTTAAATCATATAAATCATATATATAAGATACATTGCTTCCATGATTGGGATATGGGCGTGATAATTTAACTCAATGGTGTTTTGAAATTCATCTAAAATACTATTGAACTGTCTTTGGAAAGAATTCAGAGTTTATTTACTTATTTCAAAAAAGGACGAGTTATCTCCCTTTTAGTTTAATTAAATCTTTTTAACGTTTATACATCTTTTTAAATTTTGACATTATACCAGTCTGAGTTTTTACTCTATCCATCCGAACATCTTACTGCCAGTCGTTAGGTCTGGATTACTTTAAAAATGTTGTCCAAACGGATTCTAATGAGCCTAAGAGACAGTGGTTCAAAAGGTCTTCTTTTACATTTTAGAAGAAGTAAACATGATTGACCATTCGATCATGTTTTTCTCACAGAAAAAGTTCAAAAGCGTGTGTATAAATATTCTACAATCTGATTTTATAAAATTGACTAATGAAAAAGCTTATTCTGATGTTGCAGGTGTGCATTGGTTTGGATGCCTTGAGTGGCCTATACTTCGAGTATAACTGATCAGATTAAGCCCTCTAACAGATTTATTTCGAAAACCTTGTATTTCTATGAAAATCAATCTTTCATGGGTGATGACATAAAATGCAAACTACTAACTTTGTTTGGGTTTCTGCTTGTTACTGTTGTACCTATATTTTCTGGACGAGTAAATAGATAGATGCATTTGGAGCATGTCCATTGCAAGGTTTCTATTAATCCTTCTCTGACCAGTCTTGCATGGAGGATGGAATAAAATACAACCTGTTAGCATTGGTTGGGTTTCTGATTTTTACTCTTGTACATATATTTTCTGGATTATTGATCAGATGTATTTGGAGCAGCTCAATTGCAAAGCTTTTATTAATCCTACATTGACAGCTCTTGCAAAGGTGTTGTATCTCGTGATGCCTGCTATCAGACATGCTTCGTATGCTATATATTACATTTTTGTTGAAGTTTTTTGGGGCACATTTATTTTCAAAAACATGTACCTAAAACACCATTCTGGAAAATTTTATGAATGATGCCATTCAGAAAATGCACTATTAATTTTATACACTTGTGTATGAACATAAAAAATTCTCGCATTCGATCTATGTTTTCTAAAGCAAAAAGTACGTACATATAAAATTAATCGAACAATTAAAAACAAAAATGAGAAAATCAAGAAAGTGCTTTAATCTTTGACGTTTATGAGAACTATGAGTATGCTGTATATCAAAAGTTATACTGGTTAGAAAAAGACACATTCTCTAAACATATTAACTATGGACAAACTGTGAATATTTTAACGGTATTTTTCGAATAAGGTTTCAAAATCGACCCTTACCATATCTTGACCTATTCCGTTAGCATCAAAATGTGATAGTCTTAATTAAGATTAAACAAGAAGTCTGTGAGCCAATGCTCACTAGTAATACCCCCGCGTTGATGTGAATGTACACAAGTTCAGTTATGGACAAACACAAGGTTGAACAAGAAGTTGACGTCAGATTCAAACAAAAATGAATCCCACCATATTGCAGGCCTAAACAAAGAGTGTGCTAAAATTTCAAGCATCTGCAATCAGTAGTTGCTGAGAAAACTGCAACCAAAATTTGTTATGTATGGTACGGACAGACGCACGGATAAACAGGAAGTTGACATCGGATTCGTACAAAAATGAATCCACTATATGGCATGCCTAAACAAAGAGTGTGCTAAAATTTCAAGCATCTGCAATCAGTAGTTGCTGAGAAAACTGCAACCAAAATTTGTTATGTATGGTACGGACAGACGCACGGATAAACAGGAAGTTGACATCGGATTCGCACAAAAATTAATCCCACCATATGGCATGCCTCAACAAAGAGTGTGCTAAAATTTCAAGCGTCTGCGATGAGTAGTTGCTGAGAATTTTGTTACGGACAGACACACAGACAGACAGACAGACACACAAGGGTAAAACAGCATACTCCCCCCCTCTCCTTTGGAGCGGGGGTATAATAAATTGAATTTATTTCTTCATCCTGGGGGTTTCCATTGAGCCAAGATTGACTCTAATTCTTACTTCGTAATCTACAAGGTAGCATTATACAGAAAGTCGCTATCATATAAAATTAGAGAAAATCATTTTCATTATTTTATTGATATAAATAAAATTAATATATTCATATATTAATTTTGTTTGATTTGTGTAACAAAAATGTCAGGATTTCATAATTCTGTTCCAGATTCTCGTCATTTCTTCTTCTGTGACATTTTGAAGTTTTTGTAGCATTATCCATGCGTTATCAGCACCTAGTCGAGTATATTCATTATCTGGCTGATTCTGGAATTCACTTTCTCCAACAACAATATATTGGCACAAGCCAACAAGAATGCAATATGGTAATAATTGTAAATCTTTATCGGATATAAAGCAGAATTCTTTATACCCATTCAGAAAGTGTCCTCCAATATCAATACTGTCAACATCTTCGACATCAACCATTAAGTCCCTTATTACCATAGCAACCTCAAATAAATAAGGAGAATATGCTATGTCATTGAAGTCTATTAGTCCGAACTTGATTTCCTTGTAGGTATTTTCCGCATCGATATAAAGGGGATGTAAATTTCCATCTTTGTAATTTACAATGATATTGAGATCATGAATATCATTATGAATAATGCCTAAAAGAATTTTAAGAAAAAAAATTTAAATTAATTTTCCAAGAAATAGCTATAAATAATCAGTCACATAAAAAATGTTTTCAGTATATTATTTAATGTTTAAATATCAAAAATCACGAACCTTTCTGCAGTTCTTTAAACAATGGCATCACATTGTCTTCAAATTTCTGAAGTATTTTCAGAATCAAATTTTCTCTTTCTTCGGTAGTATTATGCTGATGAATGAATTACAGTTGATTTTATTGAAAATGTTGGGTATACGTAACGGTTTTATGAGTATTATTTTAAGAATGTATATTTACAATTCCAATATTTTTCCTAGGAAACTAATAAACTCTAAGATGGTTTAAATCGATAAACAAACAGGAAACTGAGAGACTGAGAAAGAAAAATCTTAATAAATTTTCGTTATAATTTATAAATTATCTTACTTTGATGCCAGGTAATAAATTTCGTAGACATGAAGAATTTTCTAAAATCCAAGGGTCGTTTGGTCGAGATTCAAGAACAATATCCTTCGTTATTTTCTATAATAAAACATATATATCAACATAAGTTGCTAATCAATAGAAAAATGAAATGTTATAAGTAGACAAGAAAAAGAATTCAGTTTCATGGCCATTTATTTAAAAGTATATAAAACAATGTAAGGATAATTGTATTAAGACCATCGTTTTATTTTGTTTAAATCCTAAGATATTTTTGCCTTTCCTTTTGTCTTTTAAAATTTTACAATTTAGGCATTCATGAAGGTGACTTGTTTACACTACTAAATGATTTTTTTTCTGTAATACTAACTTTTAAGGAATCATGAAGTTTTCCTGTAAAGCTTCCCAATTCTTTGACCATACATATACTGTCAATCTTATGTAAACAGTTCTTCAAAGGTATTCCCGGAATAAATGAAAAAAGTCGAATTACAAACTGTCCACTATCTATAAGATAAAAAGCGTTTTTCTTTCATAAAATTGGCGAAGCATTACATGTTATGAAATTATGCATAATAAACACATTATTATAATTATCTTATAATTACATATTATTCCAGTAACATTTCTATCTCTAATATCTAACACAATGCGTTTTTTTTTTTTGTTGGTTTTATCTGATTTTAAAGTATTCATCGCCTTTACTTATCGCAAACAACTATTTGTTGGTACACACTACATTACCAAATACAAATACAAATATTTTATTGGCACAAACACAATTACAGTAATTGGTGAAGGCCCATACAGAACATATTAATAAGCATAATAATACAGTAGAACACAACTAGAATACAAACAATTGGTGTAGCAAATAATGTAGTGTACTCATCAGATAGTAAATGATTCATAACAATATAGTTACTCATTTATAGCTAAAACATTTTTTCTAATATCAGATATTTGACATAAAAATGAAGATAATATTTTAAGAACCCTTTTACACCTGGTTTTCATCAATGATTTTAACAAATTGTCATTATTATGGATTGTTTGGTTGAAATTAGGGAAAGTAGATAATTTTGTTTTGAATATTTTTCTCTGCGCTTCATATTTCGGACAGAGCAAAATGAAATGTTTTTCATCCTCAATATCAAGGTTTTGAGAAACTTTACACAACCTATCATTTTTATTAATTTCAATATATCTACCTTTTTCAATTTCTAAATTATGTGCACTTAACCTAATCTTTGCTAAAAATGATCTATCATGCAGTGACTCTAGTTTATCAACATAATGTGCACGTTTATTATTAAAACAGAAGTTTCGATAGAATGATAGTTTTGATGAGTTCATAATACTTGCATTTTGTTCTTGTAATATTTGATCATGAATACGTTGCTTAACAATGCTAAGCACTGGTTTCAATGACATATTAAAATTTGTTAAATAAGAAAACCCTAAGTTATTAAGACAAGTCCTTAAACACATAGACCATGTGTTATTTTCTTTAGTTTTGATAAAAATATCATGTGCCAAATATTACCTGTTGCATAAAACCATTTATCGTCAGGAAATGGTAGGCATACTGTGCAGATAAATCCATCAGTTTTCAGATGTTCCATAACTTTCCTTTCCTTCTCTGCTTTTTGTTGGCAAAAATTACGGCGGTGAGAAATTTTAACTATTGCTTGCATTTTTTCTTTTAAATATGACCCGCGTAAGTTCTCGTATTTAACCACGAAATTGCTGTCTTCAAAAGAATCTAGGCGATCAATTTTATGAACTTTCCATCCACATTCCATATGTAGTATGCGATTTAATTCTTGGTTCGATAATTCTGGTCGACGTTTATCCATTATTTTTTTTTTTGAAATGAAGATATATAAAGAGTAATTTGAAACTACAACCTTTTCGTCTAATATGCCCCTTCCTGATTTAAACCTACGGCTTCGCATACAAAACATAAAGGTAGCCTGTTTTGAAATAGCACAACACTCGGAGTGAGGATTTTTTATTCTTAAGAAAAATTGAAGCACACAAACTTTGTGTAACCTGGGTTAGGGTTAGCGATGAATGAAGGTTGCATTATGTAGGTAATAAGGGTTAGGCAAAGGCGGATACAGGGCCGGCGCGCCGGGCGCACACCCCCCCCCCCCCCCCCCCGTTTGAATTTTTGTATGTAGAACTTTTTTGTCCATTATCCAAAATCAAGGGGGAAAATCTATTTTTTGTAAGAATTCGTCAGCTTCCGGGGGGCTTCCCCCGGACCCCCACCAGGGCTTTGCCCTAGACCTACTGGGGGCTTCAATACCCCAGACCCCCTGCCTTCTATACTGCGCCCCCTCCCGTTATGAAATTCCTGGATCCGCCACTGTTAGGGCTACATGAAGAATTTTACCTTTGTATGTAGGTACCCATTAGCACCAGCCAGTATATGTGACACTGCACAGCCTGTAAAATGCCTTTCCAAACAAATATATTGTAGTAAACTATAGTTAATTATACTTTACTAAAGTTTACTGTATTTAACTATAGCATTTCAAAGTTTTCAAAGTTTCAAAGTTATCATTATAAGCTAATAGTGATCACTACTTATAGTTTCATTTTGATCACTGTATATTGTCATAGTGATCACTATAGTACAGTAGTAAATCAAAGTTATCACTATAGTAAATCAAAGTGTCAAAGTTTTCGCTAAAGTTACAGTTTAACTTTTCAAAGTTATAACTTTACTTTAGTAATTTTAAAAAAGTGTCACAGTTATGATGAATATGAAATATTTCATATATGGTGTCCCGATAGGGCCATTTGTAAAAGTGTAACAACGCGTTAGTAACAACGCGCTGGCGCGAAGTGATAACACGCTAGCGCAAAGTGAGAACGCGTTGTTAACAACACACCGGCGCGTTGTTTTTTCACGCTAGAACGTTGTCACTTGCAAAAGTGTATCAGGGCGTCAGTAAAAACGTGCCGGTGCGTTTTTTATAACACACCGTCTCGCTAATACACAACACACTGTTGCACTAACACAACTTTACAAAACACGCCGGTGCACCAACACGCAACAAGTAAACACGCTAACGCAACTTAACGCAACATGCCGTCTCGCTATCAGAAAACACGCCCTCATACACAAGACGCCACTGCGCAAACAAACAACAAATTGTGTAAAGTTGTATTAGCGCGCCGGTGTAACGACGAAAAGTGACCCCCGTAGAATATTGATCAGGGGGTCAAATTTCTACGTAGAAAAATGATCCTGGGTCAATATTCCACGACAAGTAGGGTCATTTTTCGACCGTAGAAAACCCTTCCAGGCCGGTAATTCTATGACTCCTCTCACGTTGAAAAATGACCCCCATAGAAATCTGACCCCCCATACTTTTTAACAATATTATATAATAAAACCTGTTTAAAAAACTTTAGAAATGAGATGTGATACGCGTCAATTTTTTCCCCAAAAAATTTCAACATACATGTGGACGGGTCAGAAAAGTAAAAAATATTTTGTTTTCTGGAGGTAAAAAAAGCTTTGAGTCGGGTCATTTTAGCCAGTCGGTGGGGAGAGGGTTAAAAAACAATTTTTTAAAGATGGCCTTGGCTTGTCTCCAAATCATGCACTGCAGTTATGGAATTTCTAATATGTTTTCTTAACTTTTCTACCTCCTTCCACAGTCCTTTTCATAATTTAAGGAGGAATGTCACACCAAAATTTTATTTAATAGATCTTTTCAATTTTAAACTATGGTTACATTATTGAAAGAATATTAGCTCCTAATTATTTTATACGATTTTTTGGCGTATTTTTTCTGAGAAAATGAAAAAAAAAGTTTTATTTGCAAAGAGTTTATTTAAAAAAAACCCTCAAATTTGTTGTAAATCGGAAAACTCTTTCACTCATGTACACAACCTTTCTTAGACCCCAATTACAATATGCTTACTTGGTGTGGGATTGATGTAATGTAGGCGAAAAATTAGCTCTTTACTCTATTAGCTTCGAAGGATTCACTATACTTTGAAACTGGATGTGAACCATTACATGAAAGAAGAAAAAATACTAGATTAACTACAGTTTATAAAATTCATAATAATCACGTTCCTGAATATCTAACTCATATAATCCCAAATTTGCGTTGTCAAGTAATTCACCAAGTTACAGTACGAGAAATTCATATAACTATAACATACCTAAATGCAGATTGCAAACATTCATCCCCCTTGTTATTGACGAATTGAACTCATCTATACTTATAAATTAATAAATTTTGCAAATAAACTCCGAAACGGGTGCACCATAGCATCGAGCCCGGCCATTCAGATACTTCAAAATTCTAGAAGCGTTCCGGGAAATTTAAATATAACTTGAATAATCCCAGAACTATTTTTAGTTTTCTCGGAACGCCTCTAGAATTTTGAAGTGTCTGAATGGCCGGAATATGTCGTTTTGAATCGGGTTTTATTATTTGCACTTAGTTCCGGGCACGTTAACGAAAAGTTTGAAAATGTGTTTAAAAATCACGTTTTAGGAACTATTTGCAAGATGTGAGGGTTTTTACAATAAGTATAATCAGTGTTCCGAGACGTTCGGTGCATACAGAGCGGTAGGTGCGGCGTTATTTTCAAAGAACAAGCCATGTACATGTAAACAAGCGAGTTGAGCAGACGACATTACGGAGCCTGCATACCTTTACTTTTTTTTTTACATATCAGTAAGGTACATACATATTTATAAACCAAGACCCAAGTACCTGTGATAGTAATCTATATATCGGCAAAATAATTGGGAGGGGGGGGGGCAAAAAAATTGAATACAGTCTTTTGTATCAAATAATCGGCCTATTCATAGGGAGTTAAAAGCTAATGTTTACAAAAGAAAAAAAGAGAAAAAAATCCAAATTATTATTAAAATGTGCATATTCACTGCCTTTATTCTTGACGGAAATGAAATAAGAGCACCTGAAGTACAATATCCATAACATAGTATATTAACATCACAATAAACGCTAATTAATGAATTTGTTATTTTCAAGTTTTTACAAAGGGGTGGGTTGGGGTGGGGGTGACGTAGATCTACTTCTGCTCCAAAGCTAAATGTGGGATTTTGAAGAAAGTATTTCTTCTTGCCCGCTTGCGCGGGATTTCATCTAGTTACCTCTTATTGTAAGAAATTCTTCCTCATCGTCTATCTTTAAAAAGTCCATTTCTTACAATAAACCTATGCCACCCTCTTATTCCAGTTACGGAATTCGACACTTAAATATATTACATACAAGGTTTCGACACAACTGTGTGCTTACTAGCGATTTTATTCGATATAATGTAATTTTAAGTCCCCTATGTTCTTGTGGAAGAGTGGAGGATAATCATCATTATTTCTTTTCAAGCAAAAAATATACAGAGGCCAGAAAAGAATTTTTTGACAAATTTCTGCGAATGGGGAAATTACATACTGTTGATACTCACACTTTACTGTGGGGAGATGAAACGTTAAACGATTTTGAAAATGAATACCTATTTTCCATTGTACAAACATTTATGAAAAAGTCAGGTCGTTTTGGTTGATACAATTATTACGTTTTACGAATTCTATACAGCTTGTGTATTATGTATTATAATATATACATTTGTGGTATCTCTCTATTATATAAACATGCAGAGAGCAAATATCTTCATACCTGTATGAAGTTTTTCGAAGGTCATAGGTCATTACTAATCACACAGCGCAGTAATATCTACATAAAAAGACTTACTCCACTAAGCAATATAGCATGTTTTTCATGCATAAAAATGTACAAAATACGCAAGTAAAATAATAATAATTTTATTTACAATGTAAACGAGTATTTAATACAGTTCTTGATCGATTTTACTTAGAGAGTAGAAAACTACGTGTCTCTTCTCTCTTCTCTCGTCTCTTCTGAGAAGGCCTTCGGCCTTCACAGGATTTGATCACGTGACCGACCCACTTCAATTCCCATTGAAGTTTTTAAACTTGTTATTTATTTCTTAATTGAATATTGTTCCTCTGATTATTATGCTTTTCTGTGATTATTTATTTTAAGCTGAAACCCATATATGTAAATATGTTTGGTATAATTTATATGTAGGGAAAGGGCGTATTAAGATATTAGCCCTTTTGCCTTTTGCCCAATCCCATTTGTAAAGTTAATAGGCAATAAAATACGTTCAAATCAAAGATGCTTTATGGTTTAAAATTTGCTATTAATAAATGCATAATATGAATGTCTAATAAGATGTGTAAAGAGAGGTTAGACAGAAATTCTAATTTTTTAAATTAAATATTATTTATGAATATGAAACACACAATTTGTAAATATTTTTTGTACCTATGGATAAAATCTTCATAAAACTAGTCACAACTAGGGAGAATATGTTAGTCAATCACATTTTAAAAAGAAATTGAAATGAAATTACTAAATTTAAGGGAAAATAATTATTTTGATATTTGGATCAATCCCGATCAAAATGAAACTGATCCCGATCAAAATTAACACAAACAAATAAAATAATAATTATCGTCCTCTCTATGTATTTACCTCTAAGAAATCTATTTGATTGTCAAGTTCAATTACCTTTTAATCCGTATTACACCTAAACAAACTAGTATTCTTGTGAAAATGTTATCTATTTCCAATTTAAAATTTTGGTTGGGATCAGTTTAAATATTCTAAAAATAACATGGTACTTATACGAGGGTTGTCTCAGAAAAATGCGAACTTTTTAGATATTTAAGTACTTGACTAAAATTATTCAATTTTTTCACATCGTGCGAAAATTATATTTACATTATTTTGACACATCAAAAGATTGTTAGGTCATATGCCCATTATACCCTAGCAAATAGTTTGCCTGTTTTTTTTCCAAGAGGA